AGATAGAGCTTCTTTAGCCATCATGAGAAACTCGTGTTTGGCTTATTTTGGCTGCCTAGGACGGAGACCGAGTCTCCACTATTTAATTCCCAGTTCCCATCCATGCCATGTCTGGGCAAAAGCTCCAGCCATGCGCCAGAATTCCTCTCGTCTAGTTTTGGCTTCGAGCTGCAGCTCGAAGCAGTCCACAGACTCCAAATACGCTTGAAATTTCGAGCAGACGCGAGCTGTCAAAACGTCGATTGACTCTGCCTCTTTGCCATGTGCTTCTTTGGTTTCGCACGTATCGCACTGTGACTCGGTACTTTTAAGGCGGAGGTTCTTCATCCAGCAGCATTTGCTGCAGCATGCGGCCTGGGCCTTTCAGATCGAGTTCTTGACCCCAAGGAATATGTGTCAAAAGTGAAAGTCCGGAAGGAGCCAGTACTTAAGTAACATTGTCTTGACAAGGAGTGATGGTTCTGTTCGATGCGAGAGTAGGATCTTCCATGACTTGACTTCCGGCCCTGTGGCTGCCTGGCTCAGTGCAAACTCATGACATGGCGTGTTTTGGTTTGAGACTCGAGGAAACTGCCGTGTTTTGGCACCTCAATCTAAGCAGGTTTGGTGCCTGGTGACAGCTGTCATCCAAAAGTTTATAGGGCGTGCCGATGGTTCACGTCCGCCTTGTGCCCCTGGGGCCCATGTGCGTGATACAGGCCAATGCGATCGAAATTGAAATTGAGACTTGCCCACGAAGCAGACAACAGAATGACGTTCTGATAGGGTCTGATATGAAGACAGAGAAAAAGTTTCATGAAGAGAAGGGGGTGCACCATCGGTCAGAGGCTGCCAGCTGCATGAGAATAACTCTGTATGTGTCTCCCTTTTGGCGAGCTTTGTGTCAGTTCGGCTAAAGATCGACTGGGCTAGACTTCCTCCGATCGGCAGGTCGCAGAATCTTGGGCGTGAGAGCCTATGTGCGATGAATGGAGCTCTTCCTCCCAGCAGGCCCGTAAATCCAGATATGTGGTCGACTCATAGCCATACCTTTGGTTTTCCAAGTTCCGTTTGGGCTTTGACGTGTTCTGTTTTCATTATTCATTATGCTTGTAGAGATTCTGAGCACGCGGCTTGCTGCATAAAGATGCACCGCTGGAGCGGAAACTCACAGCATGTGACGAGGGACATGTGTCCATCGCTTGAGTGTCCCTGCAGTCGAGACGACACAATCTATCTCGGTTCAAACTGTCCATGCAAAAGCTTTGATTCAGTTCCTGGCGCAATTGTGGCTCAGTCTTCTGACTTACTAGGGCAGGTAGCGACGAGCAGAATGACTCGTCAGCAGTTCCTCCGATGGGCCGTGCGAGAGATCAAGGCGCACGTCAAGAAGGGCAGGGCAACCAGATTGCTGGTCCTGTTGCCTGAGCATCTCTTCTTAACAGAAGCAGTTGCCAGCATAATGCTGCCCGTTTGCAGTCTTCTGTGGCATTGAGTCAGCGACACGCCGTTTCACAAGCCCGAAAGCGAGACTCCACCTTGACAAGCCCGGGCCGAGGAAGAGCCGCGTAACTGCCATCCGGAGCAGATCGTGCGACCTTGACATGGAAGACTTTGAAGAAGGCTCGGGGCTCTGTACTTTATGAGTTTATGATGCTACGGTAGTGTGTTTACATTCCACAGCACATTGCTGCAGATATGAGTCTACTAGTAGTAGTAGTAGTAGTAGTAGTAGTAGTTGTTGTTGTTGTTGTTGTTGTTGTAGTTGTTGTAGTAGTAGTAGTGGTTGTGGTAGTGGTAGTGGTAGTAGTAGTAGTAGTAGCAGTAGTAGCAGGAGTAATAATATTATGTTTTCGTAGCAGTCGCAATACTCGCAGTAGCACTGGCAGGGTTTGATGTTCACAGCATGTTGACTTCTGGTATTGCTAGCTTTCTTTCGTCAGCAGGTTCGATACATCTGTGCATATGCAGAGATAGATATAGCCGTATACACACATACATACTCAAACAACAATATATTGTTAATGCGTAAACACACGTGCAGACCGATGATAAGCCCTGCTCTCGTATCGACGTGGTACCATAGCCCCGTTTCGATGAGGAGGGCACCGATGCTGCCTCGGACTGCGTTGGGCAGCCAGGGAGGTGACGATGCCCTCAAGGACGAGTGGCGCTTGAAGGTGCGATGTTGTCTTTTAGTCTTTTGCAGGGCCTCGATGTTCAAGCTTGCTCGGCGAGAAATGTGCAGTCTTGGTCATATGCGCTGAGGGAGGGTTGTTCTTGTCTTGAGACCGTGCACGATTGCCTTCTGCAGACCGGATGCGTTCTGCATTCCGACTCCTCTACAAATCTGTCAGAAGTTTGCATGCCCACGAAGCACCGGCAATTGACCGAATCCTGCTCAAGAAAGCGATGCTCGACTGGTTCCAACACGATTGCTAGAGCTGAGGAAATGCCAGATGCTACAGATACATAGGAGAAGAGAGGAGGAGTGTTAGCGGTCTTCAGCTCACAGCCCTAAGAGGTGGCACATGCTGTGGACGTCCTGCAGGAGGATGCCGCTCCGTTTGGGCATATCAGCATATGTTCACTTTAAGCTCCCCGTGCCTTCTTAATCGTTGACAGCTTCGGGTGGCTGCTCATTACTGTATATGCCACTTCAATACATCCTGTTGACATTGCAGAAGAACTCATGTGTCAGTGAGGTTGAAACTCACTTTTGCAATCATCTCTGTCTTGGTTGGTTCTTATCTGGTGCCGCCACATCAGAAGTGACGACGGCCATTGCCCGATCCACCTTTTGTTGAAACCCGAGCATTTGTATGCTTCGGGGCCCTTCGGCGTAATGCCCACGAATCTAGACAGCTACTTTCTACACCGCCTCATGATCTTCAGAACGAGCCGGCAAGATGCCGAAATCTGAGCCTCGGGATGTCGAAGCCCTTGGAGGGGACAGGGTTGCATTGAGTGGCGCTTGGGGAAGTCGCGTCCGGCTCAGGTTCCGCTGCTTTTCGCCAGCTACAATGGCATGGGAGGGCGCCTTCCTGACTTCTCCATATACAGTCACTCAGCAGAGCACATGACACATGAGTTTGTTTGGGATCGGATTTAGGCACTGCCCGTCGGGTTGTTCCGGCGACAAACAGTTTTTGGATAGGAGTGTTGCAGATGCAGCAGAGGCTGTCGCCGGATCAGGTAGGATGTTCATGTCGCCAGTGCAACCCCCGACTGGCCAGGTTCTGAGATCAACTTCGTGGATGAGAGGGCCCCGAGCATGGTCCTGCACGGACTGCCCATGTACAGGAACTTCCTGTTAGCACTGCGGTGGTCCATCCGGTCAATGTTCGAGGAGAGTAAACTGGAGATCACCGCCATGGGCAAGACCCTTTCCGTCGACGGCAAGTTGTCCATGCGATGGCGCCTTCACTTGTGGCCAAAAGGGGTCATGTCCCATGCGCTCGACTTTATGGCCCCGATGATCCAGGGCTGGGGCTTCCACCTCAGGGAGGAGACCCACCAGTGGGAGGCACCAGCCATAGTTGAAGGATATTCGAACTACGAGTTCGACCCATGGACAGGGCAGATCACAAAGCACACGGTGGACATAAAGAATCCGCCTCTCTTCATCACGGACCTCTTGAGGCAGTACTCTGTCAGCGAGGCGAAAACCGCATTGCCCTATGGGATCCCGCTGCGATTCCAGGCAGCCGAGGGCCCCGAAAGCTCGGCGTCACTGGCGGGTGCCACTCTGCGGGGAGGGGAGTCGCGCCGCGGAGCTTCCACGATTGCACGCACAGCGAAGGCCCGGTCGGTGAGGGATTAATAATTAATATAGGGGCTTTTAGTAATAATTACCAATACTATTTTGGGGGCTCCTTATTATAATTATAGTATATTGGGCCCCAAAACCCAAGGTCCGCTCGACCTATGTGTCCAATGTGTCCTACCTTGAGCTTAGCAGGGCTGCATCGAAGTGAGTCCGAGCGACACCGAAGGTTTTTTGCTGATCAATATCTGCAACCTAACCTGACCCTCCGAACCTGTATACAAGCACTCAGCTTCAGATGCTGCACGCTCCATGCATCGAGCCGAAAATTTCGTGCATGTTTGGCAGCTAAGCCCTCTCTGCTGCGAGGCCAAGGGCCAAGATTGGCCCATACCCCAGTGACTTGGTCAAAACTTGCAAAGAAACATTCTGATTTTGGTTGACGATTCGAGCGACATGACTGCCCCAGTTCTGAACAAGGCATCATGGTGACATTTTTCTGCGCGAACAAACTCCAGTGCAATGATGGCAACGACCGGCGAAGTAGTATGCAATGCATACGGAAGTAACTAGCTAATGAACTAGATTAACAAGTCAACAAATTAATTCATTAGTCAAGTTAGTCAAGTAGTTACTTAGTTCAATAATGTAGGTGCGGTTTATGTGCGTGTATAGGTACGTATATTTGTACGTCGGTATGTCTCGTACGTGCGAACATCCGTCTGTCTTTGCATCTGTATGTGTGTGTGTGTATGTATGCACGCATGTATGTGATGCATGACATGTGCAGGTAACGCATGCATGGATTTATGGATGTATGTGTGTAAAGTAGGTATGTCTGTAACTGTATGTATGTACGTATGTACGTAACGGACGTATACATGCCTGCACCATGTATGTACACGTGTACGGATGTATGGATGTATGGCATGCATGCCCGGGATGATGGTTATTGTGATGGTGATGAGATGATAATGTTGTCGACGATGTTACAGTTAATGCTGAATGTGAGCGTGCGTTCTGCAGCTTGAACTTTCCTTTGTCTTTCCGACTTCTGAGGCTTCGTACTGTAGTTGTCGTGCTAGACTGTTGGAAGCAGCCCAGGAGCTGCGAAGACGACTTCGAGTGCAACGGAGGCACTGCGAACTTCCCGCTTCAGTGCTGTGGCCCTGCTGAATTGGACTTGGAACTTGGGGGGAGCAGGGAATTTTGATATCCTCCCGGAGCTACGAAACACGGCTCGTATACGTAGCCACAGCCGACCTTGGTAGGACGAAACGAAAGTCATGAACAGCCCAATACCAGCTCCAATTCATCCATGCTAGGTGAGCTGCCCCTGTTGGGCAAGTTCTGCTGCAAGCCGCCGGACGACGACGTGCAGCGGAATTCCAAGGATCCAGCTTGGCTGCCCCTGCCAGTTCCTTCCGACCCCTGGCAGTAACTAGACTACAGCTTCCAGCTCGCAACAGCCAGAACAGTCGCAGGCATGCCAACTGCCAGGGACCGTCGAGAACTCTTCAAGAGTTCGAGATGGCTCACCTAGTTGAGATTTTCCCGGTGGCCATCATGAATGAATCATACCATGCATGGGCCGCTGGCACTTGCTCTTCGGCTGCGCCACAGTTTGCCTCCTACTCCACGAGAGTAATGTGGCTCTTTGTGTGCTGCAACAATACCAAGGAGACCGGACAGATTGCAACTTTTTCAACATGTACTGGTTCCAAGTTTCAGCTGAACCTGAGGCTGAGCTGACATACAGCCAGCTCCCCAAAACCTGTACCTTGCATCGAAAGGCTTGGCATGTGAACATCAAGTATGGTCCCGCGATGTGAAGACTTATTTCCACAACAAGCGAGCTTCCATAGCAGTTCATCGGCTTGGGAGTGGTACTGGCGCAAATACAAACAGCTTCACGTGTGAAAAGACTTGTTGCGCGAAGCTCGCAGGGCACCAGGCTGAGCACAGAGACGTGGGTGTGTAGCCCTCGGCGGTGCTGCAGGGCAAGCTTTTGCTATCGCAATACCGAGCCTTCCGATCCCCTCGCTTGGCGTTGGTTTCCGGAAGAAGTAAAGACCATCACAACAGAAGACGTCACATCTTGCAAAGAAGTGTTCCGCAAGAGCAGTGCAATCTCATTTTGTCAAAAGCCTTGCAGCAGAAACATGCATGCGCATCTTCATTCCTGGTGGTGCTAGTTGTAGTCATGGGTCGGGTTTTAGGGAGGCTGCCTCAGAACTGAGTTCCAGTAGGAGTTCGCAGGACAGTGCTTACTCGCGGTCGCTAGCAAGGCCGCGACAGCAGAATCCGGTGCTTCATATTGAAAAGTACGGTGGTGGTAGCAGGACTAGAGCAGCAGCAGTGCCATTTGAATGCTGTCAGGAAACCAGTGCAAGCCTTTTGAGTTGTTTAAACACTACGCGAGAGAGAGGGAGCGAGAGCTTTATTGCAAGCAGGAGTTGTCAAGCATGAGGACCAGGGGTCCTTGTGAACAGATCTCGCGCTCAAGCATCTTGACGTGTATGGCGGAGCGCAAAACCAAATCGCAGGGCCCACTTGTTAGGATCTGCTAAGCGCACTCTCTGGCTGTTCTTGCAGTTTCTCGGAAGTTTCGAATTGACATGATTATGCAGGCCCGCGTCGGAGCTCTGTCTCGCGTGTGCGTGCTAAAGTTTCGAGCCGAGTCTCTGAGCGGCGGCATCAGTTCGTTCACATTAAAGTTACGTGCTGCAAGAACTTCTGGAACTAAGAGCATGGAGGAATTTCAATACTGGCAGGTCTATCATGCACCCCGTCTGCACTTCGTCCGAAACTTCTCGACTCTCAACTCCCAAGCTGCAATCTCCCTGGGTATGAAGTCGTGTTGTGAAATTGACTTGTGGAGGCGGTAAAGGGATCGAAGAGAAGCCAAGTCCCGTCAGCCATGCCCCGCAATTCAGGGCTCAATCCAGGAGAAAACGACCTTGCCTTACATTGCCAAAAGCTTAAAGAGCTATATAATGCAGCAACATGTAGAGTTTAATGTTCCGTAATTTAATATACCGGTAGTCTCATACCCTACACCCGAAACCCTAAACCCCGAGCCCTAAACATCATGTTCTCAGGTCAAGAGCGTGCAGGCAGCGTTAATCCCGGTAATCAACGGCATGAGCCTGGACTGAACCTGGAGTTGAGGATGCAGGGCTTTGAGCTTTTGAGGGCTAGGCTTTTCGCTTTGGGACCTAGATTTGGGAGTTGTTTGTGTCTTTTGTTCCTAAGATTTTGAATGCATTCCGGAAGGCGAAGCATGGGAAGCATGTGCGGTTTTGCGTTGTGTTCGGCACTGCGTGGCCCTCACCACGGTTCAAACAGGTTCAGAGAGGTGTGCTGTGGCATTCAGGCTGTACGTGGGCTGTAGGATTTTCGATTTTGGGCTGTAGGGTCTAGCCATGAACCTGTGGACCCGAAGCCCGGGGCGGTGACAAGCCTAGGCCTAGGCGTAAGTGAGGACACGCACAAAAATTCTCCGCTGAGATATCCCAAAGCCTCCCGAGCTCGCAGAAGCCCCAGACGCTGGACGAGCGGTGGCTACAAAGCGGGATAGGGAGGATTGAAACGACGAACCTTCCGTAAGTGCAGAGGTTCATGAAGCCCTTGCTCGAATTTGATGGTTGTTTGGGTTTTGTGTTCGCCTGGCTCGGGTGCGGCTCGTTTCAAGAGTAGTGTCTAAGCCGCTCACAAAAGCAGAGGTGTTTTTTCTTTCTTCGTTGTCTGGGCTTTTTGAGACTGATGCAGTACACTGTAAGCACACTATGCGGATGTTCGTTGCCGGCCCACCGCGCTTCAAGCCTGCAACCGTGAAAGAATGAGCGTCTGGGGCGGGCGTGGAGCAAAAGACGCCCGAGCAGCAAGCCCGCCATGAGTGATGCCCGCGGCCGTGAGTGAGTGAGCATTCTGGGAAGGAAGGCGCGGAGCAACAAACAAAGCACCGCGACCTCCCCCCTCACTCTGATGCCCCCGCCCCGCCCGCTCAGTCACGGCTGCGGCTTTGCTCGCGAGCTTGGGCGGCGGCACTCATGGAGCTTGAAGCTGCTGTTGTGTTGTGGGTGGCTCCCGGATGTTGATGGAGCCAAAAGGCACGGAAGCAAAAGCTCTGGACGCCGGCGGGCCAACAGCACGAAATCTGAGGACCCAGAGGCAGCGGCGACGAGCGAAAGGCCGCCCCTAAAAACAAAAATGTATCCTGGCCTCACGCCAAGAATGCAGCGAAACCCATGAAGCCTGGTTTCCGATCATGAAGATTATCCCGCCCTTGTCCTTCTTCTTGATTTTCTTCAGCCAGCAGCTTGGTGTTCAGGGTCACTGGTTAGAGTTCTTTTGGTTAACGGTGGATCCCAGGGCTTCAAAACTGCCCAGCGCTTCAGGAATGTGGTTGGCCTGGTTTCCATTCCCGGCATGATGCCGGAAGCCCGGTTGGACGAGAGAAGCCGTGGCCGGTGAAGTGTAATGTAGGGGCCTAAATAATTACCAACATGTACTATTTTGGGGGTTCCTTATTATGATTATAGTATAATGGGCCCCAAAAACCTTATTCTAATGATTAAGGCCCTGATATTGAGAGCCAGAACCTCACATATGCTAAACAGAACTGGATCATCGTGGCAAGATTCAGCCTCGGCTTCGGTGTTCCTGGATTCGTGTTTTGGGATATCGATCTAGGAATCAGCACGTTTGACAGCACAGCATTTCTGACATCAGCCACACCACTCCTAATCCCAAACTCGGAGATCCGGAGCAAGGCTGGGCCTCCTTCGAAAACCAATCCCTCGAACATCGAAACCGAAAACACTAATATAGGGCCCTGCATTCTTACACCTATACAGTATCATGACAAGATACCGTGCTGACTAATGATGCGCAATTCCCATGGGCATGCTGCCTCAACCGTTTTTAAACCACGCACTCACTCCGTTCTCCGACGAAAGTGAGTCTGACGCCAGGACCGGGCAAATCTTGGGCGGGGCCTCACCGATGAAAGCCGCAAAGTACCAGATTGCCGGGGGCTTGGAAGAGTAGCCTCAAGAAGTCGTGGTTTCGCTTGTGACGGAAGAAAATCTCGAAGTTCACGGCTGCCCTTTGCTTTTTTTAGTTTATCATGGACGCCAATTCCCAACAGGAGCTTTGTGCCTTCATCGTCCGAATGCTGTGATTGAACGAAAAGCATGCCTGCCTCGCGACTGGTCGGACTTGAAGATCGTCCTCGGATCTTCAGTCTCCCGTCAGCGCAGCAGCTGGTCCTCTTGGGTTGCAAAGCCATCTTCATCAGTGATGCGCAGACTGTATGCAGCGCCCACAACAGAAGCCAAGGTCATCCTCTTCATGGTCTCTGGCTGCACATTCTGGGCTGTTTGCATGATCTGCGTGTGATTCTCAGCAGAGGTCGTCAACATGCTATGGAACATGCGGAGACATTTCTGATCCGAAGACTAGCCGACGGTACTGGTAGTAGAGTTGCTGGTCCCGCTTCCCGGTGTCCCAGTGGTCAAGGTTCGCTACCCCTGCACACACGCATAAACTGTTTTCAATGCTCACTCCTTAGCAGGACTGCGGGGAAGAACAACTAGCAGGCTATACAGCGCAGTTCAGCAAACGAGGCCGCGACAAAAGCGGTCGTCCGGCCCGGAAGTGGCTCTAAAGCACCCGCCTCCAATTGCGTGAACATCCGTGACAGACGACAGTGACACTTAATAATATCGTATCAGTATTCGTTTATTAGAATGAACATTAGTATTCATATAAAAATCTTATAGCTATAAGTTGGCAGCTCTAAGGAGCGTTGCTTGGAAAAGTACATTTTGTGTGAGAAGCGGAAATCTGAGCACATGTCGCTATCACATCCTGGATGTATGGTTGCAACTACGTCCTACTGCTTCACTTCCAGACTAAGCCCGCTGGGTGAGCGACCCGCAGCCCAAGACTGCTTCTGAGCGTCGAAGAGATGAAATTCTCCCCGGCCCCAAACCCGACGCAGTTTGGCAACCGAGACAGATGAGGCCTACACCATCCAGGCCTTCTTCGACGAGAACGGGCGCCACGACGACAGCGCAGCCGGGATCCTCAGGAGGCCTCATCAGAGCACTTCTGGCGAGTGAGTGCATGTGGGTGGACTCGCGCCCCCACGCACAAAGGTCCCCCACCCCCCCCCGCAGCCCATCGCAGACCCTGGTGTTTACTCGAGGCTTTATCTTGCTGATTCCATCCATGGCCCATGGTTTGTATAGCTTTCGATGATGCTCTGCTTCCTACTACACTTAGCGAAACATGCCAAACATGCAGTGCTCGACATCCCTTCGATACAATCTCTTTGATTTAACGTTTCTAAGCTTTGGATGTGATGCGAATATCTTCCTGACGACAAACGAACTTTGTGATGATTCCTGAGTGTTGGAGTCAGGAAGGTTTCGCAGGCCATCACGGCTGAATGAATAGGCTGGGTACGACATGTTTGGCAAGATCATGAGGGGTGGGACTGGTGAACGGCCATGGTAGCGTCTACAAAAGGCTAGGGTCGGGCAGGGATGGAGCGTATTGCTGATCTCTGCTGCGAAGTTCAGCATGGTGCCGCAAACATGTGACCGTACCACCCAAGGTTTCTCGTCGCCTCTCTTCTAGGGAGAGATACCCAATGATAACCAAGGTCGCCACCTGAGGTTGACATGTCACTGTGGCGTACACTCTCAGGTGACGCGGCAATCGCGCCTGAACATCTCGAAGTTGTGGAGCGCTCAGTCTCTTTTTTTTTCATTTTGAGAGTCATCCGCTGCTTTGTCCATCTATCTGGACTTATTGAAACACCGGCGAACCAGACTTCAGACAGGAGTCATATCGAGTAAGCACCGTCAAGGGATCTACGTGGTCCTTCCCACATCGGCTTCCTGCCAAGCGCACCAATGCACATGTCTGTGTTTGGAACTGCTGTTTCGGTCTGAGTCGTGGGAAGCCTTGCTCAGTCTGTGCACCAACCGTCTGCTTATCGTGAGCAGGAGAAGACATCGTTGGTCTTTACCGTGCGACACAGGGTTCCTTCAAGGTATTTACATCCGCAGCGTCCGCTGTCAAACAAATCCCGAGCCCTTTGCCTTCTCTTTGTTGAAGAAACCCACCACGGGCATCCTTTTGCAAATCGTAGCCTTTTGGGTAACCGAGAGAGCCTCGGACGGCTGAAGAGTCCCCACCACGGCGGCCCAAGCCAGGCTGTCTTCTCTGCCAGCCAAATTGGCGTGTTTCGGATCGAGGCACGTCGGATGATGTGTAGTGCAGTGTATCTTCCAGGCATGAGATTTCGAAATTAGAACTTGACGGGAACCCCTAAACTCTAAACCCTAAACCCCTAAACCCTAAACCCTAAACCCTCAAAGCCCCAAGACCCAACAACCTAAAACCCCAGCTCCTGGACGTCTGCGAGTGGCCAGGTCCGATGCCAAGAAGGGGGGAAGCGAATCCCCGACTTCGGCCGGATCCCCTGATGGCTGTTATGGTTGTAATCATGATTCGTGTTATAGTTATGATGAATATTGCAGTTTTTTTTTTTTTATATGGTGTTCTTACTACTATTGAAGTGGTTGTTACTATTGTTGTTATGACTGGTGGCAGTTACTTTTATTGTTATCATTGTTGCCATGGTCAATGGTTTTCATATCCGTGTTAACACCATGCGGTATTATCATCATCGTCTTTTTCATTGCCCTGGCTGCTGTTGTTGTTTCTATCATTGCTGTTTCCTTTTCGTGGCACTGCTGTTGTCAAATCACTTCGATTCAGGATCCTGTTGTGGGGTCGTGCCACCATCCGGAAGCCGCATCGTCTTTCTGAGCCGATATGTGGCGGGAATTTAGTGCCTGCGGTTGCTGCTGCTGCTGTTGTTGTTCGTCCTATTGCTGTTGCTGCAGCGGTTGCGATTGCTGTTGTGGTGGTGGTCTTTGTTGTTGGTGTTGGTGTGTGGTGGTGGTGGTGCGGGTGGCGCAACTGGAACGGTGGGTTGGTATTGTCGTTGATGCTATGCTTTTTCGCACAGTCTCACTGCTATTCGTAGTCTTCTCATGATCCTCATGCCCTGCCCATTAGCCTTAACCCAAAATGCGTCTCCAGGGCTCTGAAATCGATCCCAAGCCCGAGGCAGAGCAGCCTCTCCTAGCAGAGCCTGGGACGCAGCTGGGATTTCTTGCTCAGGATTCTCAGTTGAATAGGGTTTAGGGCTTAGGGTGTCTTCATTCTACAGGTGGCGGGGCTTTTAGTAGGGGCCATGAGGTTGGAGGAGTCGGAGTAGAGCTGATGGCGTTTCGGGCAACCTAACGCTGCTCACGTAACAGACCATGTTATCCACTATCGAACTGCAAGGAGGCTACGACTCCCTGCATCCAGCGCCAGTATATTGCAGGATGCAACTTGTAAAAGGTTGTAGAAGGACATTTACAGTAAGCGGCTGGAGGCACATGCCACCATTGCCCGCCAAACGGGATGGGCAAGGGCTAGTTCAGCTTCATCGAGTTTTCTTCAGCTCTGAGTTATCCTTCTGGGGCAGTCGAAAACTCCTATCCTGGCCTGGGTCTTGAGCCCACTTTACGCCAATTCACTCACAACTCCCACAAAAGCCTCAAAGGTTAATCAAGAGTGTCTCGACCCTAGTGACCCTGGTGTGGCCCTAATCCGGGCGGCTAGCCCTTGTAGCACCGACCAGCCAGGGCCACCGAGCCCCTGGACCTGATCTGCTCTTGGCGGAAGCAGTCTGCAGAAGGAGGAGCTTTCGGCAGCGCGTTTGGGCTGGGTTTTGCTTGAGGGATTGGGGCGTTCCATTCAGAATATATTAATGTACTAGATACTTTACTAGACTATAGCAAACTATACTATGCTATGGTTTTGGCTTGGTGTGGTGAGGATGGGAGCTGCTGCTTCCAGAGTCTGCGACCACCTGCGGAAGCCCACGACTGAAACTGCATCGTTTTCGATATCACGCACCTTCCAGATTTCGGTCTGACCCAATGAAGCAAGCAAAAGAAGGATGTGGTGGTCTGACCTTGCCTGGACTTGAGGAGTCAGAACGCCCAAACATCATAAACAAAACTCGAGAAGCCCGGACGCCTTGAACCGGAGCCCACGTGCAGCTCCAGATAAGAGATGCCAAGCCCATATGCTGAACCCCAAACCCCCAAAACCCCCAGCTTTGAGGGAGCCAGCGCCAGGAGCCAAAGTGCTTGATGTCCTCATGGAAGGGAAGGTGGGCAAGGTTCGGCCCCTGAAGGCTCCTCGGACGGCTCTGGAAGTTCGGGTAAAGCAAGGTCCCAAAGGACTTTTGGAGCCCATTATACTATAATCATACTAAGGACCCCCGAAAAAATAATATAGGTAATTATTAAGTAAGCTCAAGGAGAGGATCTCAGGTATCCGGCATACCTGCTCTGGCGTAGCCACGAAGACCTGGCGCGCAGATGATGCTGGAATTGAGTTGCTCCAGCTTGTGTCCAAGATGTTGTTGTAGTAGGCCAGACTAAAGCATGATGCAACACGAGTCGGGATACCGATTCGAGTCGTGAATGGTTGAAGAACCCAGTGTCCAATGTCTGCGATCTTTGCCCATAGATTGAGATACCTCAAGGCTCTTATTTGATTCTAGTTGTTGGGGGTCTCATGGGCCACTTTCGGATGTTTTGGCAAACGTCGCAGGTGCAGTTTCCCGCCATGGCTGGTGAGGCACTGGGCTCTTCCGGACACGAGAGTTGGGAATCAGAGTTCCAGCTCGCGGTCATCCTGACGTAGGTAGAGAATATCTGGGGACTATGGTATGAAGATCACTGGCCGCATGTTCTCAAGTAATCCATTTTGGAGCCCCCTGCGCGTTTAGGCGTTCAAGTCGGAATGCGTAAAACTGCATGGAGGAGTTGGGGTTTCGGCGGCCGTAAGGAACCCGGACGAGTGCCAATCCGCACGAGGGCGAAAGATGATGCGATGTGGTTTCGGGCCCTTGGGGTTTTGGTTGTAGTGGTGATGGTGATGGAGGCAGGGGTTTGATGTCCTGAGCTCTCATCTCAAGGCTCATTGCGTAGCTCATGGTTTCCTAGTAGATCCGCAGCCAGAAGCATCAGCCAAGAAACCAAAGGCTCTTGCCCGGCTTCACTTACGGCTGAGCAACTGCATCAGTTTCCGCCACCCTCATGGGGTTGTTCGATTTCTTGCTGTTCAGGTCGTGTGCATCATGGGCCCCAGCGGAGTGGGCAAGAGTACACTGCTGTGGCAGGCTCAGCGAGCTGAGAGGGAGAGCAACCTCTGGACTGGAGGGCCGAGTTGTCGCTTGTCTTGCCCACTGCAGACTCTCCACCGGCTGATGCAAACCGAAGGGAGAGGGAGTGAGTTTGACTCCAGAGCTGCGCATAGCTCTCCGAAAGATTGTGCCTTGGTTCGGAGGCTGAGACGAGCAGGCGTTACGGAGAGGAAGCGTGGGCCCAAAGCTGGCCCCGCTTGAGCTTTTAAGATGCTGAAAGGGCACGGCAAGAGTTGGCGAAAGAACGAGAGTTGGAATTGGACTCAGACCGCAGAAACGAGCCCGCCGAAAGAGCAGGAGAGAGAGAGAGAGAGAGCTTCCACAGTTTCCTCGAGTTGCCTTGGTGGTGAAAGCGCCATCTGCCAAGCTTCTCCGCAACAAGCGGGGGCGCTGACGCGCGCGGGTGAGGGGCTCTGTCCCCTCTCCCTTATCCCTTGAGAAAGAAAGCTAACGAACAGAATAAAAACAAGACAGGAAGAAAGAGATGCCGAGAGAGAGAGAGAGAGAGAGAGTGAGAGTGGGAAAAAACGTAGATCTTAAGGAAGTGGATCGCCGATCTCTCACGGTATGGCAGCGCCAAGTTGCGACCTTGGATTGCAACGTTTCGAGCTTGGATCTTGGAGCTTTCGGGTCTCTCTTTTAGGGTCGGCGCTCAGGTCGCCGGTGTGCCAGGTTGAGGCTGAAAGGAAGGTTTTGGGTGTAGGGCGTAGGGTAAGCTTCAGGCTCTTGGCTTGGGATCTTCGAGAGACTGTCTGAAGCTTCTCCGAACTCAGGAGATTTCTTCTTGCAATCTTAGCTTGTAGCCATTGTAGCTTGTCTGTCAGGCCCTGCTCTTTGAAAGCAGCTGCCGTAAAGGCAGCATGGGCAACAGCGACAGCTGCGGCACAAACTGCAACAAAGACACCAAACAAGAACAGCAGGTTTGTGTTTTAGGCTTTTCGCTCTAATGGTTTAAGAGTAGCCTTGCTCAGATCGCCATGTCATAGGATGGCGGTCGGCACGCGAGACAAAGACACGATGGCGTCGTGCCCTCAAGAAAATGCAGGGTGGGCATCAAGGGCACAGCTTGTGATTTGGTCCTCGTTTTTAGATATTCGCAAGGAGATTTGGAATTGAATGGTTTTGCTTAGTAGCTTGCCGTGGAGGTGCAAATTCACAGCCATTTCGACCGTGCATTACTTTGACCCCAGCTGTTTCCGCATACAAGAAGCACGTCTCCTTTGACTCCTGACCTTCAGAGCAAGGGTAATGAAGGATGTCCCAAGACCCAGCAGGGCCTCGGGTTTTCAGACTCAAGTTGCAGTCTACTCTTGTCGGTGTCGCAGGCGTCCGTGATTGCATCAAACTGAGGCCCCAGGAGTGGCGAAGAGAGGCCGGCGAGGGTCTAAACCGGTCTGAGATCTCGACATGTGGGTGAACTGACTCTCTGGGTGGATGTTCGTGTTCATGTTCTGTTCCAAGCGCCGGGGAAGCAAAACCGAGAGCCGTTTCTCTGGCAGGCCATGCGTGATAAGTGTGTGTTTGTTTCGTGGTTCGTTTGTGCCACGATTTGTGGGTCTGGAGCTGGTCTTGCTCAGACTTGTTCTAGCGCAGTGGTTGCTGTAAGGTTTAGAAGGTCCTCAATTCTTGCTCTTGCTGCCTGCGGCTTTTAGGGGCGAGGACTCGTAACCCTGGTTTCGGAGGCTGGTACAACCGTGAAGCCTTGCTGCGACATCGCGACCTCTACACTCCAAATCCTCAACCCAAAATCTCCCAGCAGCTCTCGTGCACAGGTCCTTTACGTCCATCAGGTCAAAGCACCTTTGCCGGGGACCCCTCGCAAACTCATCCAGGCACATAGTGGTCCTGCGCATGTCCTAATTTTAAGGCCGAGAACATGCAAGGACGTTGCAGCGACGGGAATGAGAAGTTATGGCAAGAACGTCGAGAGTTCAGAGTTTGGCACTTATCATGAATGGTTTCAAGTTTAGGATTGGTCCTAGAGGTTGTTTTTTGTGCGTACAGGTTTAAGTTTAAGGTCTGGAGAGGCGGAAAGATGTCAGTAAGCCCTACTTGCAAATCCCCAAGTCGCAAACCCGAAACCCCGAACCCTAAACCGTAAATGTTATATAATTTTGTATCATAGGCTTCTGAGAAGCCTTCAGGGCCAGGCACCGGAACGAGAAAGCCTTCCTTAAAACCCTGGCCTGGTAATGGAATCCAATAGAATATACTAAAATACATCAGAATATACCACAATATACTATAACATACGAGAACAGACTAGATTACGTAGACTAGACTAGACTAGACCAGAATTTATACTATATACTATAACGTGCTGTGCACTGAAATCCGGAAGGCCTTAGAGAAGCTCAAAGTTCGGAGCGGACTCCCGGTCTTGGCAGCAGAGCCGGGAAGCCCAGGACCGCCGCCTCAGGGCACCGCGGGGGATCAAGGGCGACAAGGAGAAGCAGAGAAGTAACAGTATTAGGGGGGGTTTAGTTTTTTTCATGTGTTTCAAAATTGTTTCAAGGTTGTCAATTGTTCTGGATTCAGGGACTTGGGGTGACACCGACATGATCTGAGCTTGTCGTGCCCTGGTGCTGGCCCCGAGACCCTTCGTATCCACGGCCTGAGACCGCAGCAATTCGACACCAAGCTTAGTAAACCCTAGCCCTAAACCCTAAACCGTAAACCCTAGACCCTAAACCCTAGACCCTAAATCCTAAACCCATGTTTGCCTGACACACCACGGACCTGGCAGACTCTTGCACCTCAGCGCTCCCCCACCTTTCAGCCTGACTCAACCCCAAGTCGGAACCCATGGGTTTTTGACAGATCAAAAAGCGAGCTATTGTCCGGAAAAGACTGTAGGGATGGCTCTTTTGACTGAGGCCCCTCGTCTCACAGATTGGTCCGACCCTCGGCGGAGGTGTCTGTTGGCTTAGTTTGCAGATTTGTCAAGGCGTGAGGGTTTCGAAACGGATTTCACTGTCAAAGGCTTGCGGGTGGCCACGGTAACAATCCGGCTGCTCCATACTGGTGCAAGGTCTGCGGGATCGGCTTTGTTTGCCACCCAGGTGTGCGCACAGCTCCTGATATTGACAGATCGATGTATGTACCCACAAAACAAACTTAACTCGCCCAACTTGAGTTTTGATTTCAAGCCACCCGCAGCCCCAGGTTTAGAAGAGAGCATGTTGGAGAGGCCCGGCTCTTGGCTATACTCATAATGCTATCCTTGCTTCTGCTTGTCGCTGTAATGGCTGTTGCCATCGGAGTTCTTGCTTCGTTTCTCCCTGTGCACGGGCAGGATTGAGGGAGGCGGAAACAGGGAGAGATAAAGAAGCAGAGACTCGAAGGTCCTGGTCCGAGCTCTCCGGAGGTGAGGGTCAGAGGATGATGTTTGCCATCGCCGCTGGGGCAGACACCTAGCGAGATGTTTCGGGTCTTGTTGTCTTGTAGTGTCACATCAAGATCGCTCCGGGATCCAGGACTTTGCAGGTTGGAGCACAGTCATTGCTTGAGCTTGATGAACGAGTGTTTGGCTGGTTGGGGTTGTGCAGTGACAGTTGCAGCAGGTGGCAGCACCATGAGCATGATGCGAGCTGTGTTCTTGTTTTTACTACCGAGCACTGTTAGCTGCCGAGTTGCAAGATTGGCCCAGGCTCTGTCAACGAATCCCAAGTGCTTGGTCCTGGACGAGCCGACGAGCGCCCTCGATGAGGACAGCACTCACTTGCACAGGGAGGGTGAATGCAAAGGGCAGCGGGGCATTTTCGAAGAATATCTTAGAGTAATCGGCATCGGCAGGGCTTTTTTGCAGGTCTACCGTGGAGTGTTTTGACCGAGGTTGATCCGGGTTTAATCGTGGAGTTCATTCTGACTGAGATTGACTAGTTAGTTTCCTTCTGAGGCTGTTTACACATCTAGCGCTCGCAAAGGGTTGTGCGGGGTTCGCGCTAGGCACTTGTTCCTCAATCTCGTAAGCTGGTGCAGTCAGTGTAGTGGCTTCAAGGTCAACAACGCACAAGTTAGTGGTGAAATAATGGTGAGCAGAGATGGTTCTGCTGTTGCACTTGCTCCGAGTGCTCGTGCCCGGGCCCCGGCACATGTGGGCTTACAGCCTTCGAGGTGTACTTTCGGATCGCAAGTTCAGGAGGTCAGGAGCCGGCTCACTTGCAAAGCCACCAAAGAAATCGCAGCTGAGTTAGGCTCGATTGGTAACTACACGCATGTTCCCGGCCACTGCAACAAAGTATTCACTGGACGCTATCCGGCATGACTTCGGCACTCCGACCCCGAATCACAAGGGTGGCAGTCCAACGGGGAATTCCCGTATCCAGAAGCTCTGTTGGAAGACTTAACAGCACAAGCCACGCATCCGCACCAGCAAGATGTGCCCCGGGTTTGGGTTAGATGCCTGGCATCATTGTGACTGAAGTGACAGCATGCAACGCTGCAAGAATTTCTCGAAATGTTTGATTGACTTGTGAGGCCTCCAAGATCCTGGTGGAGGAGGTGCTGAAGAAGCGAGGCAGGGATTGTCTTCCTTTCGCCTTCGGTTGTTCGTCGCGCGTCGTGTCACTGCAGCTGTTTCTGATGTTGCTGCCGCTGCTTCTGCCGCTGTTGCTGCTTCTTCTTCCTGTCGTTTGCAAACTATTTCAACTAGGTTTCTCCTCATGTCGATGTAATTAACTGACACTGGCACTTTCTTACTGCATGCTTTGTGAAGGGCTCTTTGGCTGGACCCGAGCGGGCGGTTCCAGGTTTTCGTTTGTGCGCCTGACGGCTTATGTTCTATGGTTCGAGGACATGTGCTCAGTGCAGTACGGATTTCCAGCAGCTCCAGTCGCGCACCGCCGAGGCAGTGATTCCTGTGTCATCATGGCCACACACGATGGGAAGCAAGCCGAGCGTGCCTGACCCTCGGATGTACCACGTGAGAATGTGAACAGCTCGCGTTACAAAGTCTGAAACGCTGGTAGCCCGGTTCTGTTTATGTAAACGATACCCTGCTGCTGAGGTTGGCACTTCTCTGTGGACCTTCACCCAAACCGCGTGAATGATTCCTGTGCTGCCTAACAGCTTGACCGGTGTTGTGCTGTGGTGTGAGAGCCTTGACACATGAAGCTTCGAGGTTGTAGCAAGAATCGTGAAGAGTCTTGCGCACCAGATCGTTTCAATTTTCCAACCTGGTTGCGGCGGCTAGGCGCAAAGACTTCAAGCTCCTCTCGTGCCCGGTGGAAAAATTCCAAAGGTTTTCTGCGAACCGCTCAGCCCAGGGCTCGATTGCAGGGAGCCTCCCAAGCGACCTCAAGGTGAAGCTCTTGTGAAGGGTCCTGGCTCCTAGTGTGCGACGAGCGCCTGCCTTTTGCCCGCCATGTTGGGGCGACTTCCGTCACTGAAGGCCAGGGCTGAGGGCCGATAGAAGCGGCTTGAGCAGGATAATATTGACGGAGCTTAGGGGCTTCGGATCTTTGCCAGGGCTTGGGCATACGTCGGAAACGAGAGATCCGACTGGAACCAGAGATGCCGAGCCTTCCAAGGCCCGACTCAGAGGAAGGCCCCCGAAGAGACCCGTTGAGTGCAAGCAGGTGCACATCAGAGAACTATCAAATTCTGCCTGCCAACACGACAAAAGAAGCAAGACACGGACGACAGAGTCACTCGGTCTGGCTAGCAGCTGTAGATCCCAAGCTCAACATGGAGTACTTGGAGCTCAATCGGCTTGCCTTCCTGTGAGCAGAGCAGGCCCTTCGGGGTCTGGCCACACGTGGCTTTGCAGTGCGGCACCCACCAGGGTTGGTTTTGGGGGTGATGCAGGGTTCGTTTTTGTCCTCTTCGGATTCAAAAAATCAGGGGCTTGGCCATCGCATTTTCATTGGATTTGAGGGGGGTCTGATACTTGCAGGATTGACTGACAAATCTGACCCCAAGGCCCTCAGGCTCATGGCACTGCATGCAAAGTCACGAAGCCTTGTGCTGGCCCGTGATCGGCCGATCAATGATTCTCGACTGGCTCAAGCTGAAGGTCCGAACTTCAGGTGCTTCACACTTCAGGCAACCAGCTTCTGCAGCTCCTCCCCGAAAAAACACAGGTGGATCTCTCGGACAGATCCCGAGCTTCCGACTCCAGGAGCCCTCGTATCTTGGACCCGACTGCAACCTTCAGAAAACAAAGCAGACGGTTGAGTTAGAACGCACGAAACCCGACTCCCGGCTGTTGCATCTGTCCGTCTGTCTCTCTATCCTTTTGAAGAAGCATTATTACGATGTGGGGTTTCCGAAAATTGGGGTACCTTATTTTGGGGTCCTTATAATCAGGATCCTATTATTTAGGGTACTAGATTAGGGTCCCCTATTTTCGGAAACTCCCATGTGAGATAACATCCAGCAAATCAGCGATCATGACTGAGCCGCACACAGCGCAGTGCAGCTCAGCTTCAGGCAGAGGCCAAGGCCGCCGCGGCAACCAGTGGTAAGGCCAGGCCTGTGTTCGGGATCCTTATTTGTGGGTTTGAAGGGAGTTTGGGGTTAAGGGTGCAGGGGTCTCTTCAAGAACTGCATGGCTGTGTATAGAGTTCTGTTTCTTGGGTGAATTTCAAGGCTTCGAAGGGTAAGAAGCTTGTAGGTTGAGTCTCCTTGGTTCGTCGTGTGTTTGTTGTCCAGAGGCTGGTAGAGTTCCGGGCTGAGGACTCCGCCTTCTGGGCTAGTGGTTTGTCAGTTGAAGTAGATCACCCCAAAGTCGGGAACCCTAAATACCAAGTGTCCCAAAGTAGGAGTTCTGTCGTGCAGGGTCTTAATATCGTGTCCCCGTCATCGCACCTGCTTTCGCTGCACACCGGAGATCTTGAGGGCCTCCGGCAGGAATGGTTGAAGAGGAGCCTCAAGGGGCCCTGCGGTTCGTCCACCAGCTGTAGCTGCTGGTTACAGTGTTTTGTCTATCAACAGCTATTCACAAAATGCAGGCCCCAGGGCAGTCCCTTCTGTATAGTATACCATTTGGGGTTTAGGTGGATAGATCTGAAGCCGCTTGATGCGCCACCTCGGAAAGGTCTCGCAGGTCATTGGTGCCGTCGTCGACGCCTGCCCGCCAGGATTCGATTCGTTGAGCTTGGCTGGAGATGGTATTCGGGTATCTTCGGATGCCTCTCTTTCAATGTCTTCGAGCAAGACTGGTGATACCTGCGATAGAGGTGGCCACAGCGGTAGGAGTGACGTCACGAACTATTGCTTTTGAGGTTGCAGTTGGAAGTCGGTACTGTGAGGGCAAGAAAAGCGGCGACGCCATGCATAGTTCAGAGCAAGAAGAGGGATTCATCTGGGTGGTTGTCAATATTATGGTCCCTTTTTGGGTCCTTGTTATAATACGGCACCTATTATTTAGGGTACCCCAAAAGGGACCATAATTTTGACAACTACCCATCTGTCAGTTGACGACCTTGGACATGCTGGGTTCCCTGTACCTTGCAACAAAGGACCATTCAGCCAGGATGGCTTGTCGATAGGAAAATCATGCTGCCAGAGATCACATAGGCGGTTCAACCGTCTTGAAAGCCAGGGCTTTGTGCTTCTCCACTATAGCTGCAAAGATCATGCGAGTCTTGAAACCTCCTCAGAGCAGCTTCGAGCGGACGGTGTAGGGATGTAGGACTCACAGAATGACTCCCCTGACACAGTTTTGGACGAGACACCAATGCCAGGTCCAGTTCGACACTGCCCTGCCGCCTATCCTGAACGCACTTGAGGTGCAGGGCTTGATGAATGCTGTGACAGGATGCAGCATGGCGTTTCCGGAAATCAGGAGCTCCTATCTATCTAGGGAGCTTTCTGTAATCCCGCCATCCAGGGTTTTGGACAGGTCGAATATTTTCGTGCACTCAAGCTGCGCTCTGCCCTGTACATCTCTGTACCACGGCCTCGATGCTACAGTATGTGCAGTCTATACCGTATGCGCTATGCCGCTATGCCGTCTGCACTCCGCTTGCTATGCGGTTTTGCCGACATGCGTAAAGAATGACAACAATCCTGTTTTGCAGACTCCGACTGAAAGCATGCTCGTACCATGTAGCATCGACTTTATAGTTGGGTTCTCGGTATCGCAATCCTTTACAGTTACTCACACCAAACCAAGTCGCCCACCTAAATCCTTAATCCTGAGCCCTGAGTCCTGAACCCCGGGACCCTATCTCCACTAGAATGACGCAGCCTCCGCAGAGGTCGAGGGTTTTGAGCATCGCCTGGTGCTTGAAGTGGCACAGCACTTGGGCGAGGCTCCCAGGATCGGACGGCTCAGACTGATAGCAGGTGGGTGGGGAAGTGGGAGCGTAAGTACCTCGGAAAGGTTGCTTTGCTTCGGTTGAGTGGTACTTGGCTGTCTCTTCCGCACGCTCATGGCTTTGGTCTGTGGTGTTCTGGAACTACTTGAACAACTGTTGTGGGAATCGCAGATTCTAGTTTCCTGCATTGGCCTCCATCGCCGCGACGACACGACGACTAATTACCACTGCTACTACTACTACTACCACCACCACTACTACAAGTACTACTACTACCACTACCACTACTGCCACTACTACCACCACCACCACCATCACGACGAC